GGCGGGCAGCGCCCGGCCCTCCGCCTTTGTCTCCGGCGCTGCGTCCCGCGTTGCAAAGGCGCCAGCGCTCGATTCCCAGATGCTAAGGAGATCCCAAGCCGCCTTTAGTGCCCTGTTTCTTTTTTTTCCTTCCCTCTTTGATGGAATATATATATTTTATCCCATATTCTTAACGCTTTCAGTAAAGTGTTTGGCCTAGATTTTTTTTCTTTCCTCTTTAAATATCTGCCTTGAATAAGCTAATAAAGATGGATAAGAAATCGTTTGAAACCGTGCTGGATGAAATTAGAAAGGTAACTTGTTATTTTGCATGCTGCTTTTAACCGTTTGGTTGCAGACTATTGTGGTAGATGAGCACACTCTCTCAGATGTTCATTTTCTTTACTATTCACTTGAAAATTTGAATGAAGATTACATTAGCTAGCCTTTGTATATCAGATATAACATAGCGTAAGGCTTTGTGTGATATACTTGCTGTCTGTGAGATTGTTGAGCTGACTAATGAGATGCAGAGCTTTTTATAGTTCATGAAAAGCTAAGCAACTATATTTAAATGCTTTGAGGACAAAAGAAAGGGCTTCTTGCAGGCTTCTTTTAAACTGTCAATGGAATGTCCCCCGTGTACGTCAGACGATTGTAAAATTTAAGCGCAGAGTTGAAAAGTCTTGAGATATGCATTGTGCTTCTTGCCCTTGGCCTGTATGCTGTAGGTGACTCTTCAGATCTCATGTCACGTTTAACCTTCAGTAGCGTGTTTGTGTTAGTTCCCCTGAATAACACCGCCTTCAGGAGCTTTTTAAGCTCCTGAGGAGTGGCTTGTTGCAAAGTCAAACGCTTTTGTCCTGGAATGATTGCCTGTGTACAGGGTAAGTTTGAAGACAGGCCAAATGTTTTTGCAGTGATAAGGCAGGCCATCAGATTCTGTTCGTCTACAAGGTTCTGTAAGAGTTTCAGTTGAAAGATATTATGGAAATTTAGGTGATTAAATTGATCTGTTGTTGTTTTTGTGTGTTGTTTTCTTGTCCTGTGAAAGTACTTTTAATGTGTTTCTTCTGAGTGCATATCTTTGCCTCAGACCATTTTTGTTTTCTCAGAAGATTGACGCTGTCTAGGCTGTTAGCGCTGACCTGACGAAATGTAGTTGAAAAATGCTCCTTTGAAGTAACTAGATCATGACAGCATTTTCATATGAGTTCTGAGGAATAAAAGCTAAAGTAACAAATTATGGATTTTTTTTTTGCTTTTTTGTTTGACGTGACTGGAGAAGTTAATTTATAATGTGAGGTATCACCTTATATATGATGGTTTAAGATATACATGTTTAAGACATGAGGTGGCTGAGTTCTAACCTGTCCTCAGCTTTCTTTGATCAAAGCTATATCTCCCAATGCTCAGGAGCGTTCACCCACGTGACTCCAGAATGTAAAATCGTGGGGTTTGATCCATTCTCTGAATTCTGCTTATACCTTTCCTGTTGGAAAACCTCATTGAACGAAATACCTACTTGGTATAGGAAGCAGAGATACAAACCTGGGCTTCCTGTTCTTGGGCAGATGCTCTCATTCCTTTCTGCGTAGAGGCCTCCTTTTAACAGAAAACCTAGAGATTGGTTGTTGGGGTAGTTTCCATAACTGCTAGAAATGGACAAGAGGAGGGAAGAGACTACTTTGAAGGGAGCTGGAAAAATGTCTGGATCCTTTAGACCCTCTGAAACTAACTATCTTACGTGACAAGTGAAAATCTAGAATGATATATTTTGCTGTAGTTGAAGTGTTAAGGAGGGATGACTTAATTGTCACAAAAGAACAGTTATGTATCCTGTTAAACTTATTTTGGCATGAATCTGAAGAACTTGTCAGCAATAAGATTGCCTTATGGCAGAGATATAATCCTTTACCACTTTCCTAATAGATATTCTTGTTATGATAGGTTGTCTGGGAGAGGCCATCTGCTTTGCCTGGAGTTGGGTGCCCCAGAGAAGTCTATTTAGTTTCAGATTGAGATATCCTGATAACTGCAATTGTAGTGTTAAACCTTTGAAAAGTACTGACGTATGAGCCCCTTCTGCACAAAAGCCCCGATGATGACCCTTTGTTATCCCAACTGCTCTTACTAGCACTTTTGCATAAGGTCATTGTCACAGATAAAACAAATATATGCCATTCTGTGTAGTAGGTCAGGCTAACAGTTTCCAAAGTAGAAGAAATTTCTAGGTGTTTTCTTTCTTTGCACCCTAAGATCTTTTATGGGAAATTTGGGGGGAAATCAAGAAACAACTTTCACATCATGTATTTTCTCTGAGAATTAATGAAGGGGGGAAGTAATGCTTCAAATATTATTACTACTGCAGTGCAGCCCTCGAATACTGCTCCCTGCAGCTAGTAAGTATTTCAGACAAAAGGTTTTCTTGACGTGTAATTTCAGGCAATTATACTTCCTGTATGTGCTCTGCCTGTATTCCTATAAACCAGACTTACTGTTAACCCTTAATGCTGTTCATTGTTAATACTAGCTTGGCTGCCTACATTTCTGCTGCCTAAAGTTCATTTTCCAAATACTAATTTCATATCTGTGCTATTGGGTCTTTGTTTAAACCTCATTTCTAGCCCTGTGGTAGAAACTGCTTTTTTTCTGCTGTCTGCAGGTAATCCTTTTAGTACGCTATGTTTTCAATCTTACTGTTAGTAGGAAAAACTTAATCACATATCTTAATGTGCAGCTAAGTTCCGTCTTTCCCCATGTGGATTTGTGATTATTAACAAAAAAGTTTTTCGTAAATATGCTCAGCAGTGCTTTCTGTTTGTGTTCTTATTATGAGTCATTATGAGTCATATGATGCTATATGAGATAATAGACTTTTTCCTAAACGTATGAAAAGAAGAAAGGAAGAGAAGAAGAAAAAAGAGTATGAGAGAGAGAAGTGTTTTTAACTCTGCGACTTCAGCATTTCTGGTAGTCTGGTAGACACAAAAAGGACGGGGTTTGCCGAGGACGGTATGCAGGTGGTTTTCTGTGCACCCGTGCTGTTCATAATTGAATTCCAGTGAAGGAGAACAGCAGGTCTGTTGGTGTGGAGTGCTAGGGAAAGCAAAAGAATGTAGATGGGATTTAGGTCTATACAGTGCAATTGGGAAGAGGGTGGAAATGGGTGTGGTGGGTGAAGCTGGGGGTGATTTGAGAGTAGTTAGCATGGCAGTTATCAATGGATGAGGGCCATGCAAACTGCGGAGAAGAGGGATATGTGCTATATAGAATGGTCACAGTTGAACTCCTGCCCCATCTCTTTTTCCTTTATATGTATCAATGAGCTGGGTGTGAGGAGAGGGGGGAGGCCCTTGCTATTGCATGACCCATGTGGTACCACCAGAACTAGATCTTGCTGCCAACTCAGAAATGGTGGTCAATACTGCATTAGACTACTCTGCTTCCTTCGCTTTATATGATTGCGTATTAAAGTTCAAGCTATTGGATGGTATTGATAAGACAGCATCACCCTCTGGAGCAAGCTTTTCTCATACAGCTAGTTCTAACTTTACAGACTTGGTACCCAGTCTCTTCATAAAATCACTGAAATAAGATACTCTGCTAACTATTTTATGGGAAACATATGAAAATACT